TTTTTTTAACACTTAAAAGATGTTTGAGTTATTAAACTTTTTTAATAAATAAAACACTATGTGTTTGGATTTAAAACATTTTAAACGTTTAAAATTGAAATATTTTATTATAATATTAAAATTTGTTTTGCAAAGATGTTTTAAACCATAAACATTTTAAATACTTTTAGTGTTTGTTGATTACTTCCTTTTGAAATTAACAGTTTTTATTAACCCTTACCAAACAAGGTCGGGTCACTAATGATCAAGTGATTCTTGTTCCTACAAGTTTCTTTGAATCTTTCAATAAATTATACTACATTTTATTTTTCAAAATAAAGTTTTAATATTTATTTTAGGAAGTTAAATTATTTATTTTGAAAGTATGTTGGTGAATTTTAGAAATTTTTTGAACTATTTTGAAACAGACGGATTCTAGTGATCCATATGTTTGGATGGATAAAGCATCAAATTTTACTTTGTATTGTAAAGATTAAGCAATATGAATATTAAAACTGTGAAGATAGCATACCATTTCACTTGATGTGATTTTAGGATAATTGAACAAGAAAGCACCTATATTAACTATCACTCTGATTAAACGTAATATCATTAAGCACGGCAAGAATAAGAGCCATGGCAATGGTCTCACGAGTTCCGTTGTTCCCGATTCTTTCTCATCTGAAATATAGATCCAATTCAGTCGTTGAGAAAAGTACATATTTTTCATCATTTATCGTTAAAATGACGAAAAAATATAATTGATTCGTAAATCGCACCTTCGCTATTCTGTTCGGGCAGACTCCATTCTATACACTTCTCCACGAGTGACAGAAAATAATCCGTATGTTTTAGTATTGTCTGACTTATTAATTTGCTTTGTAACATGATTGCAACAATCTCAATTCTATCGAAAAACAATCCTCTTGTGGCGTCTCGTCGACTGTCTATAAACGATACGAGTGAACAATAATTTACTCGATCAATCGGACGTTTATCCGGATATATTTCTTAACAAATATAATTTTAATATGCTTACTTTGATGAACTTGCCGTATCGGAAGTAAATCAATGTCTAGAAAGACTTCTTCCTTTCTTCTTATTACTGGTTCTGTAACCTGACTGGTTGGTACTGGATCGCTGGATAATCTTCGAAATCGAATAAATCGTAAAATCTTGGAATGCAATGCATTGGCCACCTCGAACCTCGAAGATGTAACAAAAGAATGATCAGGACAATGCACTCAAAATAGAAATGGGGATTTGACGAAGCGCCTCTACAGATACTGAGTCAAGTACGACCCTTCCACGTCGCACAGATGAACGAAGGGACTGTAGGTGCGTTCGAGAAGATGCTATTTATATCATTCTATCTTTGTTTTACATTGTTACTAATAAACAGTGATGATAGAATGACAGAAGCTAATAGCTTCTTCCCGAATGCACCATATAAGTGTGTAATACAATTGCACAGTCGAAGCCGGCAATGCTTAGAAAGACATTTAAAATCGCATAAACGGTTTGTTCACTTTAGGATTGTTATAGACAAGCGACTTTGTAGTTTGTTTTGAAATTCACGACACTTTTCTCCTTAACTCTGTATGAACGGGTCGATGCTTTCCGATTATGGGGCTACAAAGTCGCACGTCTGTAGGAACCCTTAATTATTAATTTGATTCCAAGGCGAAAGTAAGATTACGACAACGTCGGATTTCTTTAAAAAAGAAATATCAGAAATTACAATTGTTGGAGCATATAACAAAAAATAGGATAATATGCGAAAATAAGTCGATCATTATTCAAGAAAAGGTTTTTTTTCTATTATAAATAAATTTTTCTTTTATGAGGCGGAAAACATAAAAGTATATTTATTCAGAGATTGTCGATAACAGATTGATGTAACTTTTAATATTATAGATCGTTTATTTTTATCATCTAAGCAAATATTGAATAAAGATATATATACAAAATGTAAATGCTTACTCGAATAATGCTTATGTATATACGGAGATCAATCTGTTGACGATAGTTCGCGATCAGAAATGCATGAATAAAAATTTCTTCCGTTAAATCTTAATAATTTAAGTTAAGCCCTAATGACTCATGCAAAATAGACAATGAAGAAAGCGATAATAATAAATTATAATATATATAATAAATTATAATATTATCGGGAAGGCATAATCTTAGTTTATCAGAGTGGAACGCCGAAAGAAATAACGACTTATTTTCATGGCAAAACACAATATATGTATATAATCACAAACGATTTTAGTGTCTCACTGAAATATATCTAAAAGTTTTACGGATTTTATTACACGGCATTAATCTACGCGTGCAATTTCTGTTGAAGCAGTTACATTCGCTTAAACATATATTTTGTATACAATTTGTATAAGATATCCAGAAATTCTTGTAATCTCCAAGAAATTATAAAATATAGTTATAAGATTATGTTACAAGATTATAACAAAATCAATTTTTTATTTTCAAATATATTGAAAAGAAAATAAACTTAAAAATAATTAAGTTGAAATTTAAATTACTTTATATAATGTTTCCAACTTTAAGATATAGCTTAATAATATAGACGCAGATAGATATTTTTATTTATCTGCATCGATTTATTTACAGAAATGCGATAAAATTTTTTGCAAACTTATAGACGAAGATAATCTTTGCTAAGTATTCATGATAGAATTTAATTTAATTCAATTTTTACTGAGATTGAGCACATCTACAATTTTAAAAATCCCATCAGAAAAGTGCTGCACGACACATGATATATAAATAAATTACTAAGTTTTATCAAAGAAAATGTTCCCGCATACAAAATTTTGTGATTTATCAGATAATGACAATTTAATGTTTTCCTCTCGCATGTCAAATCAATGTTAAATGGACTGATCGCGATATATTAATAGATTATTATATAATAATTTGTCACGAAAAATGGTAAAAGCATTTAGGAAATTATG